AACTCTGTAACAGTGTCTCCACTGGAGATTAGGGACCTTCCTGGAGGAGGTTCTTGTTTATCAGAAAGTAGGAGGCACGGAATAAGGAATAAGAGAGAAGGGCAGAAGCAGAACTGCACATATAGTACATACGTGGGCTTTGATAGAATAGGCATTGTGAGGACTATCCACTGAAATGAGCAGAACCAGATGGAAACCTGGTGCAGGGGGAGTCAGACCTCTTCTTCACAGCCTTTACCCAAATGGACCATAGGGAAAGGATTTATATCACAATTATAAAATTGTTAAGTAATAGAAGAGAAGATATTGCTGTTGTTCTTTCAGGTATTTGAGCAGAAAGACATTAATCAAGACTGAAAAAGGTATCTTTAAGGTAAGTTTAAGTGTGGTTATGTTGGCACTTATGGCTCATTGGATGGTGTTAAATGAACAACAGTCAAGTTCCACACCTGAAAACTCTACCTATCGTTTACCCAGCTGACAAAGGGTGTGTCTCAAGTTCCCCAGAATCATTAAAGAAAATTAGGTGTGGTGGTGCACTCCTATGACCTCAGAATTTAGGAGGCAGAGGCAGGAGAATGGGAGTTCAAGGGTTATCGTCTATCATCATGAGTTTGAGGGCAGCCTGAGCAACATAAGAAACTGTCTCAAACAAAAGAGAATAAAGAGCCTGGGGAAAGAGAGGGGAGAGCTGGGGAAGGGGGAAGCTCCAAAAATATGAAAAACCCAAAACAAAACCAACTGCTTCACAGAAGAGAAAACTCAGCTGACAAATGTGTTCGGCCTCAGTGACGAAGGGGATGCTGTAGATACCCTCTCCACAACACTGACAGGACCGCAATGTCCTAAATCATCACGGCTTTCTGCACATTGCTGTCAGAGTGTGAATGGTAGGGCCACTTTAGAAATCAGTTTGGCCTCAACTGCAGAGCTGAGCATTCAGAAGCCCAGTAATTTGACTGCCAACAACACACATAAGGAGAGGCCTCATACATCTGGCATGGCAGGACCACAGGACGCCAAGTGTCAAGTACGGGAAGATTTGACAATTTGGTGTTAAGTAAAAAGTACAGATTTTCAAAGATTCATAACATTACATATCAATGAATCACATTTATGTTCTTTTTGAAGAATATATGTAAAGGTCTAAGAAGTGAAAGGCAGAAAAACACAAGAGAAAAACAGAGTGGACAAGTCTCAGGCCACAGAAGTTGACACCACACTGGATCCTGCTCCAGGTATTTCTTCTATTATCAGAGAAAAGAACTGTATTCATCAGGGTTCTCTAGAGGAACAGACCTTATAGAATTAATATATATGCATTAATAACTACCATGTATAGGCTTACAGGCTGTGGTCCAGTTAGTCCAACATGGCTGTTGACTAACAGAAGATCCAAGAATCCAGTAGTTGTTTAGTCCATGAGGTTGGTCTGAAGAAGTAGGCTCTATTGCCAGTGAAGGAATGGACTTGCCAGTGAGAAAGAGCAACCTGCCTTCCTCCATGCCAGCAGAAGGCGTGGTTCAGATTGAAGGTGTATCTTCCCACCTCAAAAAATCTGGATTCAAGGTGGATCTTTCCACTTCAAATAATTTCATTAAAAAAATCCTTCACAAGTGTACCCAGCCAGTTGTGTTTTAGTTAGTTCCAGATATAGTCAAGTTGACAGCAAGAATATCCATCACAAGTAGCTAAAACATGGAGGCCATTTAAAATCAAGTTACTCCTTGAGTCTATCTCCAACCAAGAACTTGGGAGGAATGAATGAGGGGATGTTTGTAGAGGGTGACCTGGGAGTGATGGTGTCACTGTGTCTACAATACCCTGACAAAGCTCAGGTGTGTGACATCGACCACAGTATAGGGAGGCTGAGGAGTGTACGAAAAGGGCTGCAGCATGAAACACTTAACCCCCCTCTCCATGACACGCCTCTCATGTTCACTCAGGGCAAAGCCTCCATGCTCATCACACGCGCACAGGTTCTCCTCTGTGTGGGTTCACTGGAACCTGCTGAGGTGCGACTTTTGGAGAAAGGGTTTCTACCTTCACTACAGAGTCTATATCAGATGGAAACAGAACGAGTTGGCATACTTTTCTCCCTTTTCCACTTCCTGAAAGGTTACATCAAGTATTTTTACTTAAATTTTTGTTTTATTTAATTCACAAATCATTAAGTCAGAATTTTCATTGGATGAAAAAAATCAAGTCAGCAATTTGGTTTTCTATTACAGACAACAAAAGTTCCTGTGTCTTATTGAACCTGCAATAAGAATTTGTGTTCATTGCCTGAGAAAAGCCACCTGTGCCAGTTAGAAAGCATACAGTTAACTTGGAAAGATTTAGAACTAGACAGAGACTCATGAGGCTGGATCCTTTAACATCACTGTGCCCACCTTGGCATGTTGCTGTCAGGTGTTAGGCACTCAGGTTTTTAAATGCAGAGGAAAATTTGTCCCTCAGCAGGTGGAGTGAAAACCATGAGCTCTTGGGTCTTTTTCCTAGTGGACAGGTCTCATCATATAGCCCTAATCACCACAGTGGCAGCAATGAGAGCTTCTTTCAGATAATTTATCAGAATTGTACCTGATAACAGATAAGCAGGAAGCAAATAGTAACCACACTGGCAGTGTGCATCCCAGATGAGGCTGGGGTTCAATCTGCTCCTCTTCCATCCTGGATAAGCTATCTGCTCAGGATATGCAGAGGAATATCTGGGCTAGCTTATCTGGTTGTAAGTGCCAACTAAGTGAGCTACAGTCAACCTTATACTTTCTGCCCCTTGCTTCCTCAAAATTCTCTGTGAGACTCTAGGGAAGCTGTCTGAGGATGGGCTCTGATAGGCACTTCAAAGACAGGATCTTCAGCAAATGGGCTCATTGCTGCCTCAGGTACACCTGTGCCTGGGGAAGAACACTACACCAATCTTCCCTAGGTCTGATTCTGGCTGAGGCTCCATTACTGTAAGGTACAGAGTCCCCACAGTGGATGATCCCAAGAGCAGCTGGTGACTGGGAGTGATCATGTATTAGAATTTGGTTAGTCAAATCCCGCTTTGACCAGCTTTGCTCTGGGTTCAAGAAGAACTGCTTCAGAGTAAGCCTAGCAGGCTAGGCATGTCCTTCCTAGGTGGACTTCATCTCTCCCAATGGCCTGAGAGACTCCAAGGAAGCAATAAGTTTATTGATGCGGACGTACTTGTACTGGTGTAACTCAGCAGTTGATTGCCACAGCCAGCAGCACTGGTTGGAACTGTGGCCTTAAGTGACAGTTTCCGCGGGGTCCCAACCAAATGAAAAGGGGATACTTGTAAATAATAGCTCTGCAGGTTTTGCTCAGGCATAGTTCAGAGTTAGGAAGACTCATCACACACTGTTGTAACCTTCTGTTCCCTACAGAATGCCCTTCCCAGTGAGCCCCAGGAGACCCCATGAAGGCTCTCTATGCTGTACCTTGCACTATGCACCATGAAGCTATTGCATCGTCTATGAAAACTCATACGTAACTCAGATCCGTGATGGGGCATGCCTGAAGCCCAGTTTTGAGGGTGGAATTCCCCATTAACGGCACTGATGACCAAACTGCAGTGTCCTTTCTAGGGTGTCTGCAGCTGATGAGGACTTGTGCATTTAGATCTGAGCTGCTGTATTTTCACATCATACCAGGCATCATAGTGGGTTAAAGCTAGGGTCTCTGAGTAACTCATCAGTAAAACCAGACACTCCTGAAATGGAGCACTTGAGATAACTCCAGGACAGTTTCAACCAGGAACATGGGGGTCTCACAATCATGAAAGCAGTAGGGAAGCACCAGAGCTACCTGCTTTGATGTGGCACAACCCAAAATCACTTCCAGTGGCTGAGCCTGGGGTAGGTCAGCCATGTCACAACTTTGCTACAGTCTCAGACAGCTGAGGAGCCCCTGTAAATTAGGAAGCTTTCTCTCAGAAGCCATCAGTGACTGAAGCAAAGTGAATTTCTTCCCATAAAATGAAGCTTCAAATCTTTCAAAATTCATACCTCTTCAGCCACTACCACCACTGGTGGTGACCCTCAGGGATGGACACAAATACAAATGGGCCTGACCCAGTCAACTCTCTTGACCTGTTCCACAAGGAAGGGACAGAGATTTTGTAAACACACACACACACACATGCTACACACCACATAGACACACAGACATTACCACATACCATACACATCACACAGCACACGGACATACCACACACAACAAACACCACAGACACATCATACGGCACACAGATAGATTTACCATATATATCACACATCATACAGAAACACCACAAATACCACAAATATTATACATCATGCACCACAAGACACATCATACAGATCATCACAGACATTTCACACACCTCACAGATACATCACACAGCACATAGACACAAACAGCATACATATCACATAACACACATCACATACAGCACTCCACAAGACACATCATAGACACATCACACACCACATGGATGCACCACATCCCACCTAGATATACACAGAACATATATCACACAGCAGACATCACTTATAAAACTCTAGACACACCACACAGACACATCACAGGCATCTCAGATATCACACAGATACACAACTCTTCATATACTATACAGATACAGCAATACTATAGGTACCACACACCACATGTCACACAAAATAACCACACCTACATGACACACTATATACCACATTATACACAACATAACACATGAACTTTTGCCATGTTTATTTTTACCAAGTTATATATCAACATTTTATTGTGAAAATTTTCAAACATCTAGAAAATTTGAAAGTGAAAATACACATGTACTTAACACCTAGATTCTATTATTGCTAATATTCTTCTATATAGATGATTCTTGAATGACGATGGGGTTTGCATTCTGAAAAACTCATCATCATAAATGGAAGATATCTTCAGTCCAAAATACACATAATACACATACTCTACTGAAGGTCATGGCTCAGCAGCATCATGTACCACAAAGCAGAGGCGTCTCCTCACGATCTTGGTCTGACGGCTTGGCACTGCCATCCTGAGAGAAGCTCATTCTTATCGCTAGCCTAGGAAAAGGCCAAAATTCCAAATTAGAAGCATAGTTTTTAATATTAATTTTATACTATACCAAAACCAAAAACTTCTAAATTGCACCATTATTACCAGGGAACCCTACTGGCCCCTTAACCATTTGTTTTTGTCACTTAACTGTAAATCTTTTTCTATTGTTGTTTTTTGAGAGAGACTTTCTCTGTAGCTTTGGAGCCTGTCTTGGAACTAGCTCTTGTAGACCAGGTTGTATGTTACACCTGTAGCCTTCAGTGAGCCTCACTAACATGTGCAATGTTGCTTCGGTTTCAGAAGATTCATTTCTTCACTACATTTTCTACCCTCACTTCCTCTTGTTCTCCAGACACCTATGGCTGAGAATTTCTGTCCCTCTGAGTACCATTCTACAATTGTAAAACAGTATCAGTCAAACAGGAGCTCAATGCATTGCTCTCCGCAGGTTGGGGAAACTGTGGACCTGCAGGTGACACAGGCCTGTGTCGTGAGGCCCAATCAGCACGCTATATTCACCTTTACTGTGGAGGAGTCTTTGGAGCTGGAGCTATGAAACCCGTATTTGACTTCGGTGGAAGAGCAGACAGCAGGAACTTCTGGGACTCCATCCTGAAGAGGAAAGGCAGGCACATCAGCGTGAGGGAGACCCCGTAATTGAGGCTGAAGAATCGCATACCACTGTTTTAGGGCCATGTGTACTACCCAATGGGAAACTATAACTGGATTCTAGTGTGATGGACCCTCACCACTTTGATACAGAAAGTGCATCCTCATATGACTTGGGCCCTGGGTCAGACCTCTGTTTTCCCAAGTAATCATCAGTCTTTTCAAATGGATAAAAGCTCACACGTGCATGCACCCCCAGCATCTCCAACTCATGGAAGTTTCTTGTAGCAGATCCAGAAAGCTTAATAAGAGGTGATCTGGAGTATCCAGGGAGCTCTGAGGTAATCACCTTAAAGCATAGGAAGGCAGAAGAACACAGAGACTCAACATAAGAGAAGGGAAGGGCTAGCCATGCTACCGACAGTTTTGAGGGTGAAAGCATTCCAGAAGCTTCCTGAATGCTTTTAGCCAGACTCTTCCTCAACCCCTCTGGGTAGTGCTGACCAATAAGGGGCAATGCTGCCTGTGAGACACTGGAGAGCCCAGCTTTGTGTGGAGACAATGAGTCTGTGCTAATGTCTTCTGCAGCACGGGAAACCCAATTCAAACCACCTGGGAGGGGGCAGCTGACCGGAACGCCTTCAAAGTCAAAACAAGAACGTTCTTCCTATGTGAACTCTCAGTCTGTTTCTGTTTGCTTCCTAACTCTATTATTCCATCTATTTCATGGAATATTTCACAACCGATGCCAGAGGAAATGGTCCCAGTAAATGAATGGTCTACCAACCATTAGGTAAAGTTCTCTGTGAAATTGGGGCCAGAGTACTCCACTAACCAATAGCTATAATTGATACCTGTATCCCATGGGCACTTGTGCTTGTGACTGGCGCAGTGCCACACAGGGCTAAGACAATAGCCATGCTCTCTGGGCTGTGATGGGCCAAAGCAGACCAGTGTGCTTGTTATCTACATCCATGGCTAGGTTGTCATAGAAACAGCTCCTGTAACTGAAAGGATAGGAACTCGAGCAAGCCCTGACTGTGTCATGTCCTGGTGAATGCGTGTTTGACACTACCCAACCATGTCAACCCCAGAGCCTCAGACCCATGGAGGAACAGCAAAGTCTTCTCCCTGGGGTGAGGTTCAGAGGCCAGGTGCAAATATGCCCACTATAATTTTCTCCTTCCTGGATGTTTATGGCCTGAAGACTGTCCCTTAGAGAGACTGTGCCTACTAAGATAGGCTAAACCTGTCCCCTTGATCCAACTGTATATCATAAACTCTGCTCCTTTATTATCTGTGTGTAATAACTATGTCTTCTTAACTAGTTGTATGCAATAACTCCACCTTTTTTGTTCAGCTCTGTGTAATAAACATTCTGAGCTTCTGGGTGCTGTGGTTTCTCCAGAAGAGAGCCCAGACCACCTGATGCCAGTTTTCTGTCTGGGCACCTGCCTGTGCCTGTCTTTTCTTCATTACTTCACCACCCCAGGTAGGTGCAAGTCCCTGGAGCCATGCTGGATGTGCACTAAAGGACAGGTAGGATTATACTGACCATTACACTTTGAGAGTTGTGACTATGCCCTGTGTTCTGTCAGATGCACATAACTAACCTTTCCAATACAAGGCTAATTCATCATCACGCTGGAAAAAATACTATAAAGTAAAAAAAGTATTTCAGATACGATGCATGTGTATATCCCAAAGATGAAGTTTTTTGTATTCCTAAAATCATGGTTCTTCTTTTAACAATGTTGAAAATATGTGTGGACTTTAAAAAGTGAGCTCCAAGAGTGAGATGTATGATTTCAGTCTAATTTAACAGAGAAATTAGACTGAGAAATCTGATGAAGAAGAACTCAAAGAAGGACCTTGGAAATGCCAGCCGTGGCTCCTGGTAGGCAGGAGACTTGAGCGAGGAAATTAGTTTTATTTATAAAATTCTGCAATTTCCAAAAGTTTTCTATAATATACGTCTATTTGGTAATAAGAAACAAAATGAAGTGGTTTGGGGTTTGGAGTGGAGCTATAGTCATGGCCACAGTTAGGTTTTGCTAGCCTTTCAGGAAGAGGAGAGAGAGAGAGAGAGAGAGAGAGAGAGAGAGAGAGAGAGAGAGAACTCTGGAAGTCTGCTTAAAAGATTAGACAGCATTTCAAACCAATATTCACAATTATTTGGTTACACAACAATACTGCCAATCAAGTTTCAAAGAAAGCCAATTTAGACCAAATTATTAGTTCTTTAAGAGAAAATGATTTTGTGGGTTTTTTTTTTTCAAAATAAGCTGTCCTCACTGACCAATAGATGAAAAAAAACTAAAGCAACTCTTAGTATTTGCATGAATGAAGTGTGAACCTTCCGCTATGTTTTTAGGCCCTGCAGTGCCTCTGACCCTGAACTGCAGGGAGGAATGGGGTGCATGGAAAGCTTCTGTAAGGTATAAGCTTCCTGGGCACAGAGGGCGGAGAGGGGCCACAGGGCCAGCCTATTCCTCACCCTGAAGAGATGGGCCACTGGGGTCTTCACTATTCCTCTCTGGACAAACACCAGCTTTTCATTAAGGAAATGAGAGTGTCTACTGATGATCCTCAGAGAATCACGGAGAATGTATCCTCTCTCCACCAGACATGAGTAGAGATTCTCTCTTTCATCTCCTATTCCATCTCCTGCCTCTGCCCTGCCATCTCTTAGTATCTTTCATGGAGAGGTCATGGCTTTCTGCTCAGAAGACTAGCCTCCTGTGCTCATGGCAGAGTCCCCTGAGGTTTGGGCTGCAGGGAAGCAGCTAAAGAAGCCACAATGCAGATCTAAGGCTGCCCGGTGCAGGCCACTAACCTGTGAGGACCCAGAGTAGCTGCTTGTAGCCTGCTCAGTAGACACGGTAACCTGCAGTGTCCTGGCTGGGGGACCATGACTGAGGGCTGGATAGGGGGTATGCATACGTGTGTCTATCTGAGGAGGCTTCAGTGAATGTCTATTTTTTCCATTAATTTGTACTAATAGACCCTAGAAATGAGGTAACAGAAATGAGACAGTAAAAATGCACCATCCATAAAGCTGAAAAGGACTTTGTATGATAACTCCTCAAAGTACACATGCATTTGTGCTTAGGGTGTGATAAGGAACGCACAACAGAAAACCGAGGTGGAACCGTCAGTTAGTGTGTGTAACCATGCCTCTGTTACAGTTTTTCTTGGCTATACAAAAAAAAAAAATCATGGGAACAGAGAACACTATGAAATGTGTGTCTACCCTCAGTGTGAGGGTCGACTTCTGACTTGCCATTCTGTGGCATGGGCCTTGCTTTCAGGCAGAACTATCTGTCACTAGGGAGCATACTTACTCAATATATCAAGATTGAATTGAATGACAAGCTCTGACTCTCAGGATCTTAAAATCTAAACCAAACACTGTTAAAGACTGATAGGTACACATCTGCCCACATGGCTATACATGGATGTAGAAAATAAACCAACAGAGCTGGGGAAACAGCTCAGCGGGCAAAACTATTGCCCTGCAAACAGAAGGGTATGAATTTCATTCCTAGCACCCATGTAAAAAGCTGGATGTGGCAACACATGACTGTCATCCAAGCACTGGGGGAGCAGAGGTGAAGGATTCCTGGAGTTCACCGGCCTGCCAATCTAGCTAAGTCAGAAAGCATCTGGTGGGGTGGGGCTGGGGGAAGTAGAGAGACAAAGATAGAAACAGAGATGCTGGGTCTCAAAAAATAAAACGGAAAGCAGCCAAGGAAGACGTCAACCTTTGGCCTCCACACACATGTGCACACGCACACAAAGAGAAGCAGCAGCCTTGTTTTATGCATTCGTACAACTGCTAAGGAGGTTTCTCAGTGTGTACAACTACATAAACAGCTAGGAATGTCAGTAAGCTAAGGGGAACAACTGTACTTTATACTGTGCCATTCCATCATTTCAAACATCACATCACAAACTATTTTCTAAAGCCCTTTGAGCTAAGAGGTTATAGCCGTTTAACCTTAACACAGAAGGGGGGGGCATTTGGTCCTGCCCCAACTTAATGTGTCAGACTTTGTTGACTTCCCATGGGAACCCTTACCCACTGGGAGGAGTAGATGGGGTTTGGGCTGGGGAGAAGGTGTGGGAAACAGGAGGAGGGGTGGGAGAACGGTGGATGTAATGTAAAATGAAATTAAAATAATAATAATAATAAAGCTAACACTCACCTCGGTGAGCATTGAGACCAGTTCAAGTTACTACTCTTTTCCTACAGAGAAAATGAAAATGGACAAGTGAGTCAAGAAGCTACTTATGGTGGGCTTCCTGCCTGCAGCTCACAACTAGACCCTATCTATCTTCAGTTTCGAGCGACAGCACCTGGGAAGGTCCCTTCCTTAAACAGCACTCTTCCTTAGAACCATTTTTATGTTTTCTTTTCTCCATGGCTGGGTGGGAGAGGGCCTGGCAGCTGGCCAGGTGGTAGTATTTATGCAGTTTTCTGGGGACCGTTTACTGTTTTCACCACTGGTGAGTCTATATTCCCCTTTCACCTTCTTTTCCATGGGAAGAGCTTTCTGGTCCCCCTGCCTTGTCACTAACACTGGTACTGTCAGACATTGTGGTGGAGGTTAGCTGGTGGGTGTGTGGGTGTTTTATCGTGGTCTTATCAAACGATGTCTACCATTTTCCACAGGCTTCCTTGTCATCTATGTCCTCCTTGCAAAGGATTTGATCAGATTTAGGGCCATTTCATTAGAAAGCTTTTAGTACATTTGGTATGTGTGTTGTTTAGAAACACCTTGACAATGGCTTGCATTTCATCTTCTTAATGACAATTCTCAAAAATAAAATTTTATATTTCATAAATTACCACTGTCTCATTTATCTAGACATTGATGCCACTGTTGTGTTAGCAGTAATTGCTGAGTTCAGCGTCCACAAAGACTTTGCTTTCTTTAGAAATTTATAATTTGATTTTCAAACTTAGACCTATAGTTGGCTTTGAATTTTCTGCAGAGATAAAGAAAAATTCATAAAGCTTTTCAGTCTTGGGTATATTCAGCTCAGGGCCATCCAGGGAAGCCACACTTCTCCCGAGTTAACCTTGCTATCTTTGTTCAACACAAGCTGATCAGAAACGAAAGGTACAATTCTGGGCCTTTACTCCATTCATCTGGTATGAGGCTGTTGAAAAGCAGTTAAGGTGCTAGTTTACACATTTTTAAGGATTATGTTGTCTATAAACAGTTTCCTGCTGGCCACTGTGTGCCTTAAGCCAGCATTGCACTGTTGTCCAAAGTGGTGAGAATGGACGTCCTTGTCTGCTCCCAGCTGGGGGGAGGGGAGGTCACTTTTTCACCATCAAAGCCACAGACTAACGAGCTCTTCGTGGTTTTTATTTTATTCTCAGGCTGTGGGTATTTTTTTAAAAACCAGAAATAGGGTTTTAACAGAGCCCATATGTATCTTTTGTATGGGCTTATATAATTAAAAGGTTCTTGACTCTTATTCTAACGGTATTTTATTACAATAATTGATTTACAGGTGTTAGACAGATGCATTTCTAGAATACGCATCACTTACTCTTGGTGTACAGCTCCTTTACCATATGTTTTGGTCTGATAATGTTTTATGAGTTTTGCTTATATATACAGAATATCTTTGGCTCACTATAAGCTTCTCTTGTGCTGATATTTTCTGGCTTTAATATCAAGTTAATCCTGGTGTCGCCCAATAGGTTACTCCCTCCTCTGTGAGCTGAGTTTATGCGCAACTACTTTCTTCTTCCTCCTCCTCTTCTTTTTTTAATTGAGAATTTCATACAATATGTTTTGATCAAAATTTTCCTCTTTCCCAGCTCCTCTCAAATTCCCCTCAACTTCATGTTCTTTCTCTCTCTTAAAAACTAAACAAAAACAAAATCAGAAGAAGACACACACACGCAAATTAAGTGTGATTTGTGTTGGGTAACTACTGCTGAGAATGAAGCCTGACCTGGAGTGTGACTGAGTCAGAGATACTACACCACACACCACACAGACATACCACACAGACACATAATACACTTCACATAGTCACACCACACACCCGACATTAGACACATCACACAAACATACCAACACCTCACACACTATACACCATATAAACACAACATACAAATTTACCAACCCCTCACATACCAAACACCCCACACATCACACAGGCATACCACATACCATACACATCACATGTCACACAAACACAACTCATAGACATAGACATACCACATACCACATACCACAAAGATGTATCACATACAACATATAGACATACCACATAAGGTACTATATGCCACGTAACACACTACACAAAAGCATCACACACCATACACATACATCACATATTACACACAATAACGTATATACATTATATACCATGTGTAGACATGCACGTCATATTTGACACAACCAAACTACACTTAGACCATGCACTATATATATTACATACCACATAGAAACAGATACCATACACGAGCACACATGTACATATACATTATACACTAAGCACCATATGTACACAGACACTCTACACACCACACACCTCCAGTGAGTCGGGACAGTCTCAACAGTGAAACTCAGGACAAAGCTGGGATGCTTATATAAGGTATACCACACATTGGTCTCTGCCCTTCCATGAGCATGACACAGAAGAACAAACACACCTGGGAAAGGTTCCCCTTTTTCCGTAGAGGTAGCTCTTTCTTTTCTGCTGAGTGTGAATTCCTCTGGAATCGGGGCTGCATCATGTAGTCAAATGTGCTCAGGTTCTTGGCAACTGCAAAGGGAAGGGGCAGGAAAGGGCAGGGTCATGCAGCAGCCATGCACAATGTCACACAGCACCCCATATGCAGTGTGCAATCAACCTTGCCAGGGAGTGACTGCCTCGCTTTGCATGTCCCAAGACCAGGAGGAGGACCAGGTATGTCAGACCAGACAAGCTATGATCTGCACATTTTATGACTGACAGGACCTATTTCCTGTTGCCCAAGGCAAACCTCTAATTAAGCTCAGAGGTAGGGTGGCCCAGAGGAGCTGAGCTGTGGCACCTCTCAGGGGTCCCCTGCTTTGCCTCATGATAGACAACTCCAGACCTTCCTGGGATGGCTTCCGGAGGCCAGGCTCAGGAAAGACTAGTCTGTCCAAGGGTCCTGGAAGCCCTTCATATTCAGGGAGATTGAAATCCTACTGGAAGGAATACTGGATCCCTGAGCTGACCTTGTCAGCTGCCTACCCACCCTTTGCCTGCTTCCCCCAACCCAGTGCAGTCACCTCACCCTAGATGCTCTGCCTCAGAGAACACAACCATACCTAGCAGAAGCAATCTGAGTTACTGCAAGAAGACCAGATTTTTTTTTTTTTTTTTTTTTTTTTTTTTTTTTTTTTTTTTTTTTGAGGAAAGAGCTGTACATGCCTATTCCGGGCCTGTGCTTCTTAGGGAGGGGTGTGAATTTTCAAAACCAACACACACGAGCAGATGGTTTACAAGCATTTCTGAGGAGCTGCAGGGCCACCAATGACCCTATCTGTAGCTCAAGTAGCAGACGGGGTAGGCTGCCCCAACCCCAGAGGTCCTCCAGAACTTGACTTTGCATTGTTTGAGTGATGAATCTCCCTAGGCCCAGCCAGTTGTGAGCCAGCTTCTAGCACCTATGTAGAGTAAGTCTGTGGGCCAGCACTTGCTAATTCCTTCTAATTAAAACAGTCCTTCTTTCCAAGGGTTATGTAAATGACACTCAGACCACCTGATGAGCACATCCAAGCTGAGCAATGTCGCTGTAGATCCTTTAGGGTGACCAGGCACCGGCAGCTCCCCAAGACGTTGTCTCCCTCAAGATGAGGGAAATCTGAAGTGGGTACTTACTCAGGTAGAAGTGGAAAATGAGCAGGTGCCCGAGCAGCACGAAGCTGGCAATGGCTAGCAGGAATACCACCACCATGATGGACAGGACTACAGGGGTCTTCACAGGCACAGGCCACAGTGGGAGGAACAGCAGCCATATGTTCTCAGCACTGATCTCTATGAAGACAGAGAGACATGTCCATCTCATACCTGCCCAAACTGCAGCACCTGTGGTCAGGTAAGCAGAGGGACAGAGGGCGAGTGAGGACAGCCAGCCAAGGGATGTGCTTTCGCCCTGTATATCCCCTGATCTACTGCGGGTCCCAGGGTCCCACCCACTGTGGCTGGCTCTGTGATATCCACTTTATGAATTCAAGATGATAATTAGGGAGAAGTTCCTCAATACTGGAGGGTAGAGCCAGTCCCTCTTATTTCAGACATTTGTGCCATGGGCTTGTGCCTCTGGACCTATTTAATCACAGACTCTCTGAACTTCCCCTCAGAGTCTGTTGCTCAACTTAACAGCCCCACTGTCTGCTGTTCTTCTCTACAAGTAGTTGTGTCCTACAAGACAAGCTCCTGCCTTCTCCGCCCAGCCCTGCTAAAGCATCCACTGTCTAGTGTCAAGACTGACTGAAGGGACAGAGGAGTCCAAGTATACCTTACTCTAATCTTTGGATGTTAGGTCTCAGAGGAGCTCACTAAAGAGTGAAGGAACATGGAGAGTGAGGCTGGGAAGCCTAACACTTGGCACGTGAGAACCAGGTGGAAACAGTTCCTGAGCATCAGAAGGGTACCTTTATACAGAGGGTCTGTGCGAAGCTCGTCGGGGTTGACTAAGTACTGGATGAAGACGTACAGCAAGATAACCATCACGATAAGCACGCCAACTGCCGCTGAGGCCACAGAGCAGAAGAAGAACCTGCGTGAGAGGAGTGGGATCCTGCCCTGAGATGAGCGAGTGGGAGGTCCGGACAGACTAACCCCCAGTCAAGCACATGAGGTCAACACACAGGTCTCGTGCGGGTGACCTCAAGGAAGCACAGAGCCCAAACTCTACTTGTGTCTTCTATATTTTTATGTTCCTTCTGCCACGTCTTTCACATACCCTAGGCAGATGCTCGCTTCTGACTTTACTGATTGTGTCTCACATTCCCTACAGCCTTCTGCCTGAGTCCTCATGTCCTTCCATCCTGCAATCTGGATAAGAATATCATTGCTGTACGATGGGAAAAGTTAATCCCTAAGATGGGAGACTATCACCTAGGCAGACAGAACCTCTTCCAGCAGCCACCATGCTCTAACCATGGCCATTCACGAATCACAGCCTTTCTTCTCCTCCTCCTCCTCTTCCTACTCCTCTTTCTTCACTGCCTTCTCATGCACTGGACTGACCTCCTCCAGCCTTTATTGCACCCCATTCTGAAAGACCGATTTGGCTTCCTGTTTATTAGGGCTGTGACACATGGGACTTTCTTTCAGGGCTTCTGTTCAACTCTGGGGCCAAATTATAACAAAATGCTATTGCAGAGCTAGATATATGGTTCAGTCGTATCAGTTAAGAGTACTGACTGCGCACCAGGGTTCAGTTCTTAGCACCTATATGGTTACTGTTTGTAACTCCGGTTCCAAGGGGGATATAATGCCCTCTTTTGTCCTCTGAGGCCAAGAGGAGCCCAGACATAACATGCAGGCCAAACATCCGCATACACGGAATAAAAATAAAAAATTTAATTTTTTAAGTGTCATTGCCCCCCATGCTTTCTTAGGCCCTGGAGAATGAGGGGACAAAAGTGAAGATGTAAGGATCGGGGTACCTAGTGAGGATGGTATCCATCACCCTCTGCTCTTCCCCAACCCCAATTTCACTACACAGAGGCTATGTCTCAATGCCCAATCAAGTGTGCCTTCTTCTGTCCTCTCCCAACTCATGGCCAGGCCACACCCTTACCTATTCCAAGTTGTCTTCCCAGAAGTGCCTGGTTAGTTGAAGAACCTCATGATTCTCCATAAGTCAGTGTGAGTCACTCAAAGGGACTGTGGTCAAGGGTCTCCTGGCTTATCTAGTCCCTGCCAGAACCATGGTAACACATCACCAACAGGCCACACTGCAATGCCTAGTAACCGTGGCTGCATTTTTCCAGCTCAATCAGGAAGGAGCAAAACTTACATCTGTGGCCCCAGGCACCTCCCTGGATGGATGGCAGAGCCCTCACAGCACAATGTATTGTCAGAGCACAGCAAGGCATGGGGTTTGGGGGTAAGGAGCTACTATATCCTGCTCATCTTCAGGACTCCCAGGCCAGTGGTTCTCAACCTGTGGGTAGAGACCCCTTTGGCAAACCTCTCTCCAAAACTATTCACATTATGATTTATAACAGTAACAAAATCATAGTTATAAAGTAGCAACAAAAAATAATTTTATGGTTGGGGCCACCACTACATGAGGAACTGTATTAAGGAATCACTCACAGCATTAGGAGGTTTGACCAGTACTGTCCTGACCTGGTGTCCAATAGCTCTCTGGATTCTGCACTCATGATCAAGGCAATGCCTTAGGGTGGCCTAGATGCTCACTCCTGTGCTCAAGAGACTAGCCATTGCTCTTGGGCTAGTGGCCATGGCATTGAGAAGGTAGATAGGCCTGAATCGGGAAGCTTAGAAGGCTCAGCCAGGCTGTGACTCACTCACTGTTCATGGTGAGCTTTGTGAGTGTGATCTTGTTCCACACGTTCAGGAACAGTCTCACCAACACATATCAGAACCAGCAGCAAATGGACACTAATTAATTCTGCCATAGCTGGAAACAGAGACATGACCTAAAGGTCACCCGTTCCCCGTGCTGTTCCCGTCCTGATGGCCCCCTCCGATTGGTCGCCTGTCACCGATTTCTATGAATCCCAGACCACAGATCCCCTCCCCCACGTTGCACCTTTGAACCCAAGAGTGCCTCACCGGTAGTTTCTGCTGCCCACACAGTTGTTCAGCCATTTGCAGTGGTGGTCGAAGCCAGAGACACATTTGTTGCAGGAGCTGCAATGCTTGGCTTTCTTGCTCCTGGGAGAGAAATCGGGAGAAACAGCCTGCTGGTCCCAACAGCACCACAGGAACTGAATGTCTACCATGAAATGGAGGGTGGGTCCTCTATCTGAAGTCAGAAGGGGGTTGGAAGTCTGTAGGAAAGACAAGGTCACCTTGGGAGAGAGATGAGCCTGTGCCCATGGGCACTGCTCTTGAAAGGTGGACCCTGGACATGCCTGTAAGTAGGCTTGTTTGCTAGATGGGAGCCTAAAAAATCTAGGACTTGAAGGCTGTTGGTACCTTGCCCAGTATCTACAGTGCCTTCCTGCAGCTAAGTCAGTGTATTGCCCTCCTCAGGTCCTGGAGACCTTGAATCCCACCAGAATCAGCTGAAACTGCCCTCCCTCCTTCCCAGTTGGGAATGTGAGGTTTATCAGAAAACCATAAGAAAGTGGCACATTTGCCCCCCAACCACGACCACCACAAATAAGGGTCTCTGTGTACAAGAGAATCTGAGAATAACATAGCTGGACCTTAGATTGCAGCTCTTCATTCCAAGGGAAAGAAGCACTGGGAACCGGAAGGCAGGATTCTCGGTCTACAGGGTAGGGTGGTATAGTGTGGCCTCCGGGGGGGGGGGGCTGTGAGCACATGGCTGTGTCCGCCATGGGGTGCCACAAAGGGCCAATGCCCAACAGCAGCAGGATCAGCTGGTCAACTATGGGGCCACAGGCAGCAGTCCTCTCCACCCAGACTTCTAAAAGCGACCCTGCCCCACTGCTCAGCAGAGACTCCACTCACACAGTAACCTCACACAGGTTGCAGTACTGGTTCTGGATCACGTGTGCGTGTTTGGACCGGTCGAAGGTCGGCACAGGCTCCGAGTAGTCCTTTTTGAGTCGGACATTGGTGTCAGCTGGATCAATGGTAGTTGCGACCAAGTGCACGATGAGGTGGAACAAGGACAACCCACCCATCAGCTGGGGCTGTCAAGGAACACACAGCCCTGAGCCTGGCTGACATGATGTAAGGTGTTTCCCAGGGACTAAGGAAAGACCCTGGAACTCCTAGTCATTGCTATCTGCAGCACCTGAGAGCAGATCCTGTAGAGACACTCTCTTCAGAGACCCAGCCAAGCCAGTCAACTACTGGCCACAGTGTGCACAAGCCCTGAAATGCCTTATGTGAGCAGGTACAAGGAAGAGCTTGGAATGATAGCTTCAGAGGCTCAAAGTGGTTCACCTGGTGGTGGGTGTTTCATAGGTGGGAGAAGCCTAGGGTATAACTGGGACCAGGTCATACCAGCCCATGTAGGAAAGGCGATCACATTGGTAGTAGAGTTACTGTGGGCCACAGCATAGTAGAAAATTATGTTAACCAGAAACATGAAGGCTAGGCAGCAGTCAGAGGGTACTCCCCAACCTCAGCCTGAGTTAGAACTTTCTGGGCCACCAGACTCTCAAGTACCTTTGGGCTTTGTTCATCTGAGCCTACCTGACCAGGAGGAGAAGGTCTTTGTCTCCTCCATCCCTCCTCCTGTCTCTAGGATAATATACAAAAGGGCTCTACTCTGTTGTTCTGCCTTCCTGGTGAGCCAGCATTTACAGTATCTCCAGTGGAAGCCAACAGGGTTCCCTATACCACAGCCTAAGCTTGTGCCAGTAGTCAGGCTACCTTGTGTCCAGACAAGACAAAGGCCATAAGCACAGACAACATAGACATAAAACCATAGACCTAAGAGAACGCCAATGAAGGTTTAAAAAAAAATCAATGAGGTAAGATAGGCCTGTGAGAGGCCCAGAGAGCGACCCAAACCCTGGACAGATCCTGTCTTGCTCACCCATCTTCCAGCATGAGCTGTCCAGTGCCCAGATTTCTGGGTGTGGGCACAGGACTGGAAAGCAGGTTCAGTGCACAGAGAAGTGACTGTGAGAACGACAGAAAGCTGTATTCCAGGAGGACAGAGCAGAAGCTGGTGCAGGGCTGGGTGAGTGTGTGGCAAAAGTGGCTAGGCGGTACATGCGGCAACAGAAAAGTTCCATCTGAGCCCCAGTGAACTCACATATGGCCTGCCAGGGAGGCAAGACAGATATCCGAAGCCCTTCCTATGGCCACCCTGCCCCCATAGTGTTGGGGCACTGGTCTATTGCAGAACAGATTATAGCTATAGTATAGGACAGTGAGACTAGGCACAGGGCCACTCAGTTGTTGATACTACCATGATCAAGAGCATGGGCCAGCGGTTGATCCCACCCTTGGAAGCCGAATTGAGGGCTGATGTGCTGCCCTCGTGATGATGGGGAGTGGGAAGCATGTTCAGAGCCAGGGATGTTGATGGGTGAGGGCCAACAACACAGGAAGTCTTACACTGCTTGGGTGTTGGCTCTTTCCCTGTAACACTAGAGTAGACCTGGACTAAAGGAAACCAGTGGGCAGGTAGGAAGCCCAAGAGGACTTTTGAGGAACAAATGAGAAACCCTCCATGACTATGCCTTGTGATACCCTTACATAGTCTCTAAATCACCAGTATCCATACTCTGATCACACATGTAAGTCCCACTGTTGAAGGCTCCTGGGGCACAGGCTGATCATAGGGAGGCTATAGTTGCAAAGTAGTTCTCAGGGTAGAGCCGGGTTCCCTTGAACCTGGACCTGCCACGCAGTCAGTACCCAGCCTTCGTGTGGAGTACCAGGAGGCCACCCTAAAAGCACCAATATGGCATAAAAAGTCTCCAGTCCCATGGGAACTCGGATCTCAGACACAACCGTCCCCTGTCCCTCTAGGACATGGAGCTCTCCTATGGAAGAAGTTGCAACACATCTTTTTATCACATTTTCCTGCACACAGCTTGTCCATGAACACTGTGCCAGCAAATTCTGTGCCATTCAGGGATATTTCTGTCACCCACAAGAATCGTGCTGGTGACCTTACTATACTATATTTTGCTCCAAATGACCTGGCTGGCCACTCCCTACCACACACCAAGGTGACATTCCCAAGGGAGCCCAGAAGAAAAATCTTCAGGATCTGCCCCTGATTTCACGTAAGCCTTGTCTCAGTGGATGGCTAACCGTGAAAGCAGGGTGAGGCATACTCCATGGAGGCCTCCCTCCAACTCCCTCTGGAAGTTTCCATGTGGGAGCCTATGAGAACCACAGCTGGCTGGAACATTCCCTAGCAACAATCTGTGTTTAGTAAACAAACAAAGGAAGGGCGCCAGCTCAGGACACCACCCTCCTCAGTCTTCTCGAACTAGTGACCTCTCCCTTGTCCTGTTTCCGCAGGAAGAGGGGAGGCCTAGGAGTAGCCAACATTCTGGTACTGTCTTGGCTCATGATTCCTCTAGGGCAAATTCTGTGGTTGAGCTACACAGCAGCCTAAGACACCCTGCTCGACGCCCCCACGCCTAGTGCACATTTATAACAAACCCAGGACTCTGAAACAGATATCTATGGTTAGATTTTGATGCTGCACAGCAAACCCTACTGTCTAAGCTGTTTGTCTGTTCCCTTGTCAACAAGGTGGGAGTCCCACTAGCAACAGGACCCTCATGGGTCCCCAGAATGGCCGGCCCTTTCTCTTCTGCACCACAAGAAGGATATTCAGGCTTTTTCTTTTCTGCCTCTAGTTCCCTTGGGTACCCGCCACAAAAAACCCTTGTTCTTCTCCTAACCCAGCCCATCATTTCCCAGCCCCTCATGGTGCCTAGAAGGTGCCAAATGATGTTGGCGCCCTCTAGTGGCTATAAACTAGCACTAAGTACTGCTGGTTTGAGAGTGACCCTGGTGCAGCCAGGCTGGGGACAGGTTACTAAAATGGTTCTAGCGATAACAGCCTGACCTAAAAACACAGGAAAGCTGCTGGGGCTGTAACTTCTCTGGACACTGGCTGGTGGCTGAGCTACCGAGTGGGTCGCTCAGGGAAGGAATGGAAGCCAGGCATTTGGGTATGCAGGAGGAATGGGGCACATAGCAAGAGCAGCTCAGCCCACTGCAGTAGGACCAAACAGCGATACAAATAAGAAGGCAGGCAGTGATTGAGGCAGAGCATACCTCCTAATATACCCATGTCCTGACACCAAAACTGGCAGCCTCGCTTGCAAAATAGGCATCACCAACCAGGTAAATGGGAACAAAGGGGACAATCTGATCCACTGTGATCACAGACCTTATAAAAATGAGGACTGTAGGCTGACACCGTGGCTCAGTAGCTGAAAGAGATTTCTGTGTGAGCCTGACAACCTGGATCCTGTGGTAGAAGGAGGGGACTGATTCCTGAAAGTTGTCCTCTGAACTCCACACACATGCTACAGGGCAAGCATATCACACACACACACACACACACACACACACACACACACACACACCACTTCATGGGAAACACAACAGACTGGATTGCCAGGACAGAAGATGGGTGAACACAGGGAGAAGACAGCACCACAGGCCAAGGACCAGGTAACATGGTACCCTCCAGGTCTTTCAGGACACCGTCACCCTGTGTCACTTTCATTTCAGACTGCTACCCCCAAAACTAAGAGGAAAACATCATCTCTTGCCTAAGACACCCACAGTGTTGGTCTCACACATTACCCCACAGAACCAATGGATACAAAATACAAGACAGAGGAAACAAGACAGAAGGTAAGGTGGTGGGTAGGAAGGGGAACCCTCCTTTCTAGGGCATAGGCAGGCAAGGTCAGTGGCCGATCAGGAGATTCGGCACTGTCTGTCGCTGTGCCCCCACGGGTACTCCACCCTAATGACAGAGTGTTGTGCCAACACCTGTCAACCTGACCGGCCACAGGTCACCTGATATCTCAGACATGCTTAGCCAAGTTCAGACAGGCAGCTGCCAAGCTCCACTAAAGAGACAAAGAGGCTGCGTCCTCGTGTTCAAGACTCAGAGCTGTCTGGATTCTGGGTTTTAAACTCTCTTATAAAGGACATTTAGAAAATTAGAAATTGCTGAATTGTTGCCTGTTTTTCACCCATGATAACGACATCTAGTAAGGATGCCCTGCCTTGTGTTGCATGGACAGAGGCAGGGGATTGAGTTATGCGTCTGATGACTTCAGTATCATCTCTAATCCCTCATTATGGTCAAGGGCCCAGGAGGCTCACAGGCTACATTGAAGGGCACACAGGAACAACTAGCATTGCTTTTCAACTCTTCAGACCCGGGGACTACCCAAGACAGATGCTATTGGAAGACAGAGGGTCTGGGTTTCAGGACAAAATAGAGGCTCACAGGCCAACAACAAAGTCTGGAGATTCTGGGGGACCAAGGAGGGTAGAGCAGAATTTGTGGGATACATGCTAGGTATATAGCCAGGTGGGTCATCACTGAGAGTTGGCACCTGTCACACTGATAAGAAGAAGGGAACATGGCTGGTGGAGTGCTACGTGTTTGAAGAGCATGACTCGGGCACCTACACCTTCCTGTCCCCTCCCTCAAAGGCACTTGAACTCCTGCATGGCTCAAATGCCCATTCTGTCGTGGTACCCGGATAGAGCCTGGGCTTTAGCAAAGGCTCCTCTTGGAACAGACAGGGATCTGAAGCTATTCACTCTACCATAGTTGATACCTACAGGCCATCCTCATCATATCTCCCCAAGATGGACTGAGTAGGAGTGTGTCCAGAATTCACACGTCTGGGAGGGATGTGCCTGGGATGTGTGCATATTCAGGGTGCATTGCTGGGGGTGGGGTCCTGCTGGGGATACAAGTGTGTTCGGGATATACATATGCCCAGGGTATGTGTATCTGGGATGTGTGTGTATGTGCCTGGCATATGTGTACTCAGGATGCATGTACAGAGTGGAGAAAGTCTTCCCAGGAAGCATGTGTGCCTGAGATATATGTATGCAGGATGTTTACACCTGGGGTGTGTGTGTGTGTGTGTGAGTGTGTGTGAGTGTGCACACATACACAAACACATGAGCCCAGGATGCATGTGTGCCTGAGATATATGTATGCAGGATGTTTACACCTGGGGTGTGTGTGTGTGTGTGTGAGTGTGTGTGAGTGTGCACACATACACAAACACATGAGCCCAGGATGCATGTGTGCCTGAGATATATGTATGCAGGATGTTTACACCTGAGGTGTGTGTGGCAGGATGTTTACACCTGAGGTGTGTGTGCGTGTGTGTGTGAGTGTGTGCACACATACACAAACACATGAGCCCAGGATGCACGTATGCCTGAGATATATGTATGCAGGATGTTTACACCTGGGGTGTGTGTGCATGTGTGTGTGTGTGAGTGTGTGGACACATACACAAACACATGAGCCCAGGATGCACGTATGCCTGTGATGTGTGTTCTCTAAGTATCCAAACATGTATGCCCACGATATGTGTTCCAGGATATGTGTTCCCAAGGGTGCATGCTGCCAGGATGTGTGTATACTTACAGGGTACCTGCCAATATCATCATTAGTTTCTCCCTAAAAATAAGTCTCCAACCACTAAAAGACTGCATGGTCAGCTAACCTACTCCAGGAGAACAGGAAATGGGGCCTGTCTTAGTTATGATTTCTATTACTGTAATAAAAACATCATGACCAAAAGCAACTTGGGGAAGAAATGGTTTATTTCATTGTACACTTCCAGGTAATAGTCCGTTACTGAAGGAAGTCAGGGCAGGAACTTGAGCAGGACAGAAACCTGGAAGAAGGAACTGAGCAGAAACCATGAAAGAACACTGCTTACTGTCTTACTACAGCTTGCTCAGCTTGCTGTTTTATACCATCCATGACCACCTGGTCCAGGGAAGGCATTGCCCACAGTAAGTTGGGCTCTCCCACATCAATTCTCAATCAAGAAAATGACCCACAGCCTTGTCTAGGGGCCAGTACTATAGAGGCATTCTCTCAATCAAGCTTCCCTCTTCCAAAATGACTAACTGTGTCAAATTGACATAAATACTAGACAGCACAGGGTCCAACCTTTCAGGGAAATCATAGTAACATAAGGCATTTACACGACCCAGAGATTGAACTCTAAGACTGGTAGGCAGGCAGTGACCTACAATTCCACTTAACGATGATAGAAAAAGAACATCCCAGTAATCTTGAAGTTAGTTGAAAGAAGGAATAATAAAAAATAAAGCTGAAAAATTAAGAAAGAGGCCAAGAGTAGGGAAAAGTAATACATTGTAAAGGTGATTCTCTCCAAGAAAGTCAGGTAGTGATGCACACCTGCAAGCCCAGCATTTGAGAGGCTGGGGCAGGGAGTGTGGGAGCGCACAGTAAGCCTGCGCTGCACGAGAAACCAATTCCAGGTGAAAAGAAAGAGTGGGGGGTAAGAAAGGAATGAAGAAAGGGAGGTAGGGAGAAAGGGAGGGAGGGAGGGAGGACGGAAAGGAGGGAGGGAGAAAGGGAGGGAGGGAGGGAGGACAGAAAGGAAGGAAAGGAGGGAGGCCGGGAGGGAGGGAGGCCAGGAGGGAGGGAGGGAGGGAGGAAGGAGGAAGGAGAGGAAAACAGGAAGGAAAGAAGGAAGGAAGGAAGGAAGGAAGGAAGGAAGGAAGGAAGGAAGGAAGGAAGGAAGGAAGGAAGGAAGGCAGGCAAAGAAGACATGCTACTATATGTCCTGAAGCCAGATGTAGTAGTGGGGTACACATCTAATTCTAACACTTGAGGGGTTGAGTCTGGAGGATCACAAGTTCATGGCCAGACTTGACCCTACCCAAAATTATTTGTATCCTTCAGAGATGAAATGAAAAATGTAGAAAATATTGTGAATAACTTTATTCAAGAAATTTGCTGTTTTAGAAGGAATGCTCAAATTTCATGAATATAGCTTACTAAAACGAACATGAGATGAAAGAGAAAAGCTGAATAACTCTTTACCTGTTACACTGAACTCATTATCAAGAGCCTTCCCACAAATACCCCTGAGAAGAAAAGAAGCAGCCACAGCTACACTGGGAGATATTCTGCCCCAGATTCTTCAACCAAAGGCCGAGAGGTGCCGTACTGTGGGAAGTTTCAGGGTGCTGCAACCACAAACTGTGGTACAGTGAGTGCTTTGGGCTCAATCCCCAGCACACACTAAAGTAATAAAGAAAATAGGGTCACTCAGTCTTGTGCACTGCACTGCCTCCTTCCTAACCACTACTCACACATGCCTGGTCCTCCCGACTCCAGGACCTGCAGAACGTCAGCCAAAGCAATGTGCCCCATAGAACCTATAGCCAGATTATGTTCACCCTAAGATGGTATCCAGGGATCATCTGTGGTTTGTGGATGTAATTTTCTGGGCACAGGTCCACTTTGCAGCAGCTTGGTACTGGCTCTAATGTGGACCCATGCCTCAGGACCTGATTTCTCTGATCAGAGGCTAAGTGTGATGCTAGATTCCAGGTGCCCACCCTGATATACACCATATATCCTGATATACACCATAAAGAAAACATTGACATAAGTTTCCCTACTGCCCCGTGGAACCATCTCTAAAGGCCTTTCCATGTCTTAGGGCTAGTCTTTGTAAGGATATACAAGCACATTGGCAGAATGAGGGTTGGAGGCAGTCAAGCAAATGCTTCTGAAGTCTTTTCTTACGGATCTAGCTACTCTGTGAGTCATCAGAGACGGTCTTCTCTGTGCACTGTAAGAAAGATAACATGACTGGAATCACCACCGCCAGGACCTCCACTGTTACCGTGTACCTAGCATATTCTACGTTCACAGTAACAAGAGCCTCTTCTCCTGGGCAAAGTGGAGTCACAGGACTGACTTCAGGGCCAAAGAAACAAGTGGTCTAGGCGGAGACAGCCCATTGCATAGGTGTGATGGGGTTCAGGGCCAGTTCTCTTGAGGACATTCAGAAGTCCCTCCACCTCCAAGAGATAGACAGCTCAGTGCCCCGCCCCACTAGCACAAAGGATACAACATAGGCAGCATATTTCCAGCTCCTTGGCAGAAAGGGGATGAAGATCCCAAAGGCAGCAACGAACATGACCAGAGAGGTGGTCCAGGATATTGCCTGGAAGGAGTGGAGGGGCGGTGACCAGCCATTCACCCTGGATAAAGGGCGTGGTACGATCTTCTTCACATTGTTGGCCTGGGCTTCTGGGAGGACCCGGTTCCGGCTCACACCACAGATGTTTATCTGAGAGATAGAAAGGGCACAGAGCGGTCTGTCCCTGGGCATAGAATGAGTGGCCTGCAATACCACTTGTCACTGTTGGGGAGGTCACCAGGACCTGGGTCAAAGGCTGATATCTATGTGGCAGGTTGGTATAGCTGACTAGGCTTGGCAGGAGATCCTTGTCCTGACAGGTAGGTTTGTAGCCCCCAAAATAGTGGGCACACAAAGTAGTTGGATATGTCTATCCCACCTCTGTGGGCACAGCTGTCCATGAATAGGCCCTGGTTGGGCCAGACCTGATAGAGCATCACCTCTCTCCTTGACACAATTCTGTCCTGAATGTTCAAGTGACAAATACCAGAAAATACATAGAGAACAACACTGAGCCCATCCTATTGAAGAACCCAAGTCCATCCGTTCCCCTAGAACCTTACCTCTCAGTGTGCTCCCTCCTAGAAGGGGGCTGCTATGAAGAACATCACTAGGGAGGGCCTGGGACAAGGGGAAAAAGCACAGTAGACTGATTTCACAGGAAAGGGCCCTGGCGGTGAGCCAACAAGGTGAGGCCTCATCTTCCTAACAGCCCCAAAGTTCAACTTTATTGTTGCAGCGTGAGAACATTCTTGTACCATACGTACCACACAAAGCTGAACACCACATGTAGAACATACAGGACGCTACTCCCCACATCAAACATATGCACCACTCAGTTCTTAGGACCCTGGACTCCTCTTCCTACCTGGCATGCCCATACTGTCTCCTCTGCGGGCATCAGTCCGTATTCTGCCTGAGACTCTTGCCAACACTCCCGCTTGCCTCCCTCAGAGCCACGCTCCACCCTCTGAGCTAGAGTCCCTTCATTCACCGCTTTCATAAGCGTGTAATTGATCCTCTTGAAATCTGAAGGCTAAGGGTGTCTGCAGCCTTAGTGAGCTGTGAGCTGTAGGCACTGGTGAGCTGTGGTTTCAGATCCAAGAATCAGTGGTACTGGGAGTTCCTAGCATCTGTGACTATTTTGGCTCAGGTCTCTTGCTTCTATACCCCCCACCTTCACTGTAGATTTCAGTGTGGACTCTGCCGTAGTTACTGACGCCGCTCTTGCCAACATTTCCAGAGCTTTCTGCATGGGTTACTCACAGCCATGAATTATCTCCTTTTCTTTGGCCTTAGGTTCCTCCCACATTTCTCTTTGATCTGTCCAACACCGCTGTTATCCACCCATCCTGCTCATGATTTCCTATCAGCACCCTCATTTCTTGGGAGGAGCTTTCCCAGTCTTGGCTATCTCATTGTATGTCTCCATGGAGAGGTTCATCAGACAGAAACCCTACCAGCTCCAAGAAACCAAAAAGGTCACATGATAGCTGGGGTCTCCCTGGCCCGGGGAGTTATGAGGTGAAACCCACTGCCTGTGGCCAATGTCTTACTCTGCCTCCTCACCTCTCTCATCGTCAGGTTGAGCAGCTAAGGTCAAACACTTATGCTCAGTGCTGAATTAAACAGCGGGAGGAACTTCCCATGTACAAAGCAGATATAGAACATCTCACAAAGGAAGGTTCCAAAGCTCATAAAGCCACAGCCCCTGCAGCCAAGGAGACTAGCTGCTGCTGACTGGAAGACAGAACCGAGGTGGGAGACAAACGGGTAGCATAGTTAGGTGGGGGTGGGGCTAGCTGATTCACATGGGTGGGGCTCTGAAGGCAGAGCCCAGCCTCACCACCCGCATCTGAATTGGTTTTACATGGTCCTGAGTTTTGGCAACTATTGTAATCTCTTTTTATTTATTTATTTATTTATTTATTTATTTATCTATTTATTTATTTATTTATTTTGGTTTTTCGAGACAGGGTTTCTCTGTAGCTTTGGTGCCTGTCCTGGAACTAGCTCTTGTAGACCAGGCTGGCCTCGAACTCCCAGAGATCCGCCTGCCTCTGCCTCCTGAGTGCTGGGATTAAAGGCATGCGCCACCACCACCACCCGGCTATTGTAATCTCTTAATGAAGGCCATCAGCTTGTGTGTGGGCCTCTCTGACACGTCCCTCCAATTCCAACTTCTTTACACTTGATCCCCACCATTTTTGCTGTAGAAGCTGAGGGGCACATACTTCATGGAGAAACACAAAACTCTGAGCCTGACCACTATTGCTGACAGGCTACTCTCTGGTGGCCAGGGGTCTGGACAGCCCAGTGGTGTTTCCTAGACTATGGACTCTGAGTAGTGAGTTGAAGCCCCAGGCTCTTCTGAGAATTTCCAAATACAATGCTACTTAAGTCTTTTCCCTCAGTGTCCCATATTTTAGATTAAGAAATGTTTAGCTCCTATTCGTGGACTCCTAAAATGATATGGATGCTCCCAGCATGGACCGGCTGCTGATGCAGCCCCGGGACTGAGACAGGATGGACAGAATAAACCCTTTCCAACCACAGCAGCCCCTATGGTGGTATGCAGCACCCCCAGAAAGCCACTTGCAGGCAGGATGTTGGTGGTGGTTGAAGGCTGCTGCGCCTGGCATGGACCAGGGTTCTAACCTGAAGCCACCATCCAGAGCGTATGGAAAGCACGCTATTAAGGGACTAGAACATACTGAAGACTCTGGGTAGAGTGGGCTGAGAACATGATGGGGGGATGACTGGAGGGAAGGCCAGTCTGCTATGGTGGGATTCAGAATCTCTGCCTTGGACAGTCTGGGGCTGGGTTACTGGTGGGCTCCTTGCTCCTACATGTGGTACTAAACTCGCAAGGGTGACAGTAAGCCTCCCAAAATGCATCTCTCCTCACATCATCTCTGTGTGGCTCTCAGGATGTATTCAGGACCTCTCTGCAGGGCTGGAAATGAGAAGTTTTGGTAAAATCTTCCTCATTCTCAATGAAAACTGCTGCCTACTGCTGACCCCAAAGTCTGGCCAGTATTCACTAAGGCCTGCAGTGCCTGGCCCTCATGTTAGAGCAAAAGGTGATGCCAATGTTGCTTAACTCTTCTTTCCTTCTGAAGATTTGGAGAAAATTGCTGTGTACATACACCTGACTGCATATCTTCACCGCTACAACCCACATCTACATTTGCACACTGCTCACCTGCACACTCCCACATCCATACATACACTTCACACTCACACCCTCATCTGCATGTACAGTGGTACATACCTTCGTTGGTGTAATCCTCACCAGAAACATGCCAGTTCTTAACCCTACCTGCATATACACATAAATATGCATACTGTTGGGGAATAGTATTTTCAGATGTGTTACTTTTGTTTATGTTGCATTTGATTAACTGGGAAGCTGTGATTCTTTATCTGTCTAAAACGCCTGATGGTCCTAGTAGAGATGAACGGCCCATAGAGAGGCGAAGCAAGGGCAGGTGGGGCTGGCGGGCAGAGAGGATAAAAGAATGAGGCGCAGCAAAGGAGAGCAAGGAGAGGAGGGCGTCAGGGGCCAACCACATAGCTACCCAGCCAGTCGTGGAGTAAGATATACAGAAGTAAAAAAGGAAGAAGCCCAGAGGGTAAGATAGTCGGGAGAACTTAAGAAAAGAGGGTAAGAAACAAGCCAAGGCCAGACACTCGTAAGTAAGAATAAGTCTCTGTGTGTGATTTATTTGGGAACTGGTGGTGGGCCCCTCAAAAAGCCAAGGGTGAGACATCACACAACACATACCTTCACTTGCACACACTATCTGTACACACACCTCCCATTTGACCTGTGCTATACATACACATTCCAATCTAAAAGAGATGCAAAGGGGGTTTCAGCTATCTTACATCTTGATCTGACCTTTTTCTTTCCTGAGATAGTGGTGGTTCCCAGGAGTGAGACGCAAGCCTACGGGTGACATCCAGCCAGTGAGGTTGAAGATTCACCCCATATCCTACTTAGTCAACTGTTATGATGAGTTTTGAGTTTGGCCAGGAATGTCTGGTTTCCAGGGCCTCTCCAGTACCCAGGACTGAGCAGTGGCCAAGCTGCAGTATCAGGTGAGGCGAGGTCACCAAGGTTGGACTCTAAGATACACAGTGAAGGCAAATACAAGACCCCACTATTGTGGAATACCCAGAACTGGCGAATCCAGAGAATGAGCTGATGACCTCAGTGAGCATGGAGTTCATTTGTAGGGTGGTGGAAATGCTCTGAAACTTAATGTCAGTAGTGGAAACATAACAAAATAAATCTACCAAATGAGTTATATGATTTAAATGGTAAGTGGTTTAGATTTATGCTGTTAACTTCACCAAATTAAAGATAAAATGTCTTTCAACAGTGAAGACACTGAATTGTTTTTCTTCCTTTCCTCTGAAAAGGTGGTTGAATGCCTACCCTGTACCTCAGCATCTCCCAAGGCTCCTGTATAGTAATACTGCAACGGTGAGGACCATAGGACATGGACCTCCAGCGTGCAGTACAGATGCCCTTTGCTAGCCCAGGTTCCCATTCTAGCTCACTACGTGGAGGCCACCTTGGACATGTGTAGTGTACCAGTGAGAAAGAGGCCCTGAAGAGAAGCTCTGTTCCTCTAAGGTTGCCTAGGCCTGGGAGCCTCAAGACTGGAGTGGCACAGTCCGTCACATGATGCTACAGACCAGAACCAACCTTTCCAGTCTCCTTCCCAGTGGGGGCACTGGCCCAGAGCAAGTTAGCCTGAACAGAGAGGTGGCAGTCCCAAGACAAGACATACTGGTCCTAGGAAGCAGGCAGACTTTAACAAGTGCTGCTCCTGGCGCAGGCTAGACTCAACTACCACTTACCTAAGGCTTTATCCAGATGTGAGATGATCTGTCCTTCGCTAACGACTGGCAAATCTCAAGGACTCCCATAGACCACTGTTGCTTCCAGCTGCTTGTTCATGCCAGGAATGCCACCTGCTATACCCTTCCAGTCACAGCCCGTCTCCCCTAGAAACTCAACTTCCGTCTGCAGCTGGCCTGTGCAGGTGGGGTTTTCTTTGCTCTTCTATTCCCGAAAAGGAGCAGGATGTGTAGCTTGCCTACAGACACAAAAGGTGTCCCCACCATCACAGCAGACAAGATGACCACAGCAGACAAGATGACCTTTGGCATCTCTTTATTAGGACCTATGTTCGTGTATTTTGCAAATACAAACAGGTACTTAGCAAATACATGTGTAGTTTTGAAACATTTTATGGGTCTGAATACTTCATTCTAAAATGTGGGGTGGTTCATTATTTGTCAGGGAGACATCTCCATCCTCAAGTGACCGAACAGAAAACAGAAGCTACCTGAAGGCCTGTTCTGCAGGCTCCCCTTTGAGAACTGCAGGACAGCTGTGCAAGACTCACGTAGAATGACTATGATTGATCATAAACACACTCGGTCTCTGGGGCTCAGAAGAGACCAACACTCTCAAGTCCTATTGTCACTTCTCAGAACTTAGAGGATATCACTCGGTGCTGTTGGGCCTCTTCTGTGGACATGGCAGCACAGACACACCACCATCTTCCTCAGGCTGCTACATGCCAGAGAGGATGAGACAAAAGTTTCTATCTTGTGACAAAAAAACGTGTATCAAAAAAACTTGGGAAAAAAAAAAAGAAAAAGGAAACAGCTGGAAAGCCCACAAGTTAGTTCTTGGCAGAAGCTGCAGGTTCTGGAGACTGAAGGAATTCATAAGGGTCATGGGTAACATCCGGCTGCTCCCCAACACTAAGGCGAGAAGGACTTCCTGTAGGTTTAAAAGAACACAGCATTTAAGAACACAAAACAGATCTGCAAAGCTTATGAGACCAACATCTGTGATTGATTGATAAATGTCCTTCCTGATACCACACACACAGGTGCATACATACTCTGAATTAGGGCTGCCTGCAACCTCCTAAGGCTCTACTTTGCTTGATACCCTGATCACAAGGTGATCAGAACAAAAACCAAATCTTAGTCTCTCTTCTGGCAGCTGCAGACGGGCTTTTTTGAAAAGATCAGGATTCATTCTGTACACGGAATACTTCAGAAGCACGAGAGGTCAAAAGAGAACAGATGGCAGCGGAGGCCAGGGAAAGCAGCTCCTAAAGGTCTAACCCATTGCTCTGTGTTAGCCAGACTTAGTTATCTTTAGCTGAGGGTCCTACAAATAAATACCAGGGACTAGAAGACCACAGAGAAAAGACATTACCAAAGAAACTGGCATGCAAGAGGCCGTGTTTGATGCCGTGTTCACCAGAAAGTTAAGAGGTTGACTGAGCAGAGATCTCAGGATTGATATGGAGCTATAATGGCTTTTCTGAGTCCTATGCTGGGATGGGACCGGTGTGGGAAGGACTTGTATCAGCACGTAAAATTTAAAGTGCAAAAGCAATCAAGAGCCGGGTGATGGTGGCGCATGCCTTTAATCCCAGCACTCGGGAGGCAGAGGCAGGCGGATCTCTGTGAGTTCGAGACCAGCCTGGTCTACAGAGCTAGTTCCAGGACATTCCAGGACAGGCTCCAAAGCCACAGAGAAACCCTGTCTCGAAAAACCAAAAAAACAAACAAACAAAAAAAGCAATCAAGAGGTGATGGGAAAAAGGAAAAGCAAACAAAGGAGTCTATTTATCTATGTTACTCAAAGGCAAACAGGATAAGATTTGTGTCAAGCCAGAATTCACAAGGACAAACACCGACAGAAAATCAGACACTGTTGGTAAGCTGCTGGAAGACTTTAAAGCCTAAGCAACAGTTCATAAAAGACATGTGATAAAACTTCAAATGAAAAAAAATTAAGCTGTCCTAGAGATGGGTAACTATCCCCCCAGAGCTTACTGTATGTATTTCTCTCCTGCAACGAAGTACACTTGGGATGGATGGTTTTCGTGTTTGTTTTAAACCCAGCTCTGTTCCTTTCAACAGTGAAGTGTGGCCAATGGGAAGACAAGAGCTGTGGTGCTATCTCAGAACCTGTCATAACTAGGTATCTAGTTCTAGGGGCAGGCATAGCGGCCGAGTGCAGCCCTGATTTCCCTTGGTCTAATGCCGGATGCCAGAATGAGCAACACATGCTGGCCCAGGACTCCCTGGTGCAACGACATGCAGTGGCCCTATGGTGGCAGCACTGCCCCACGATAACAGGGCTAACGGCTCACAGAAATGGAGTCTGTCTAGACGGGATAGTGTCTCGTCCGTGCTCCCCCACAAACTGTCCTGGGGAAACACAAATGATGAGGCTGTGTTGTGCTGTACTGGACCTTGATGATGTTTCCTTTTTAGTTGCTTTTAGCTGTCCAATACCAACTGGGACTTGTTTGGAGTGGACTGTGGGACGCCTTCAGAGATCTTGCTCCCACTCTGTAAAAAGGTTTTGTTATGCAATAGTTGGTGCCTTACAGACTTGGAAAAGTGCTTGAAAAAGGTGAAGGCAGCAGTTCCAGAGTCTGAATGAGGCTCTGTACTGGTGAGTTTCTGTCCCTGGGGAAGAAGGAACTTCGAATGGCTTGTGGGCGTGTCTGTGGGCATTTTCTTGATTGCTAACTGATATAGGAAGGCCGAGCCTACCAGGTGCTGTCAACCCTGGGCAGGTGGGCCTGGCTGCGTTAGGAAGGTGGCTGAGCAAGTCAGAAAAAGTCCTCCATGGTCTCTGCTTCAAATCCTGCCTCCAGATTCCTGCCTTGCGCTCCTGCCCTGGCTTCTCTTGATGTTGAGACATTTAAGATGATGTAAGATCAACACCAAGTTGTGGTTAGTATTTTATCACAGCAATAGAAAAGCTAACTCGGACAAAAATCGTAAGGTTCTTACTTGAAAAACCCAGAGTGGGTTAACTTCCTGAGTTGTTGGAGAGGAGGCCCCTGAGGCTCCTCAAACCATAAAGGCTTTCGCCACTGTGCTGTTGTTAGCTGCATGCTAGAATGAGACAGTAACTCTACTACTGATGACACACATACTATTGTTACAGGACATGGAAAAATCAGGCTGAGACTGAGCTACGAGCTCTCTTCCTGCTGGTTGGTTTTCATACTGCTAGATGGTGACATGCTGTGTGTGGTGGTCTGAATGAGAATGGTCTCCAGAGGCTCACACGTCTGAACGTTTGGTCCTCAGACAGTGGGACTGTTTGCAAAGGATTAGAGGTGTGGCCCTGTTGGAGGAGGTCTGTCACTGAGAGTTGAGGTCGCTGCCTGTGAATGAAGATGTAAGTTCTTAGCTGCTGATTGATCCAGTGCCAAGACTATACCAGTCCACCACCTCTCCCACACTCCCTGCCATGACGATCACAGACTAATCCTCTGAAACTATAGCCACAGTTTTGAGACAGGGTTTTCTATGTAGCTCTGATTATCCTGGAACTCACCACACAGAGCATGTTGGCCTTGAACTCATGGAGATCCACTTGCCTCTGACTCCTGAGTGCTGGGATTAAAGGTGTGTGCTACCATGCCTGGCACTTTCTGATTGAATTAATGCAGGAAGAGACTCACATATAGTTCTGTGATCCAGGGCAAAAGCCAGTGACTGGGGAGGTCACAGGGCTCAGCAGGGAAGCAACTACTATTGCTTTGTTAAATGGAGGGGATCTGTCTGTCAATTTGCCTTCGAAACATTTGTGTTTATGCCCATAGACCACTACTGCTGTCAGCCTCAGCTCTTAGGAATAAAAAAGACTGCTGATGTGGCACAGTGTCCAGTGCTCAGAAACACATGGAGGAAAACAATCATCTCACTCACTCTAAAGCTTAAGGAACATCATGGGAGGAGAGACAGGAGGAACGACTTACCTGTGCTCCTATAAACCCCAGAAACTCACTGGTTCACTAAGCTACACTTCTTTGTCCTGTTGTCAGTGCCACATCTGGGAAACTCATACGACAGGCTCAGGAAACTACAGAGATCTCAGATCCTACACGGGGCTGGGATACTCAGTGCTAGTACAGAAACCCCTCACCAGGGATGGTTATACACTCTCCCAACAGAAAATGAACACTCCATTGGTTGATAGAGTCAAGGAAAAAATATGGAATGGAAGGACAGGTGGTAACAAATCTATATTAAAAACAAATATCCTGCCCCCTCCCCAGGATACACAAGGGTGTAGAGATCTCCCAGAACAACAACAACAAACCCTGATGAAGGCCACCATCCTGGCCCTGTGGGCCCGATCCCTCACCTCAGTGCAGGCTCCCTCCACTAGCCTGTGTGAGACCCTTACCTGGAGGGTGCTGCTCCCTCTCAGAGGCAGTGGACAGAGAGCTGAGATTGGAAGATGGCCGGGAGCCTCCTCGCTCTGCTTGTGCTTCGTGCAAGTCCTGCAGGAGCCTGGTTGTCTCATCCAAGTTCAAGTGGCTCTCATCGTGGTCCAACTCCTTCTTCGCTTTCCCTATGTGACAAATATGATGCAATGCTGGTAAGCTTCGTCAGCACACACAGACCAGACACAGCACAGCTGTTCTGTAAGATCACTTTTAACTCACAGGGAGCCAGCAGATATCACATGGGTGTCCTAATCTCTAGTTCTGACACTGTCCCCTGGAGACAGCATCTGATCCCATATGTTGAGGGTATAATTAGGCCCTAACCACAGCCCCAGGGTGTTTCCTGTTCTGACTAGTAGTAAGTTAACTCCACAGGTTCTCCTTGGCTGTGTTATTTTCCAGGGCAGTTTGTGAGCACAGAGAAACCAAACAAGGCTCTCTTACTACATCACACATCACAGGTGGGCATATAAAACAGTGCCCAGGATGCCTCACCCAGAGAGCTGAGCATGGACACATCCAGAGAGACATCGGGGTATGGTTTCATTGACATGAAATCCAGAACAGGGCCACTATCTCCTAGTGGGTCCCCAACCTGCAGAAGATGAGAAAAATATTGATTAAACAGACAGCACAATTGTCAGCTAATGCCAGCAGTATAAATCAACAGCCTGTGCTAATTTGAGCCCACCTCACAGTAACACAAATGAGCACTATCCTAAAGGCTGCAGTTCAAGGAACATGGAATCCAAGATTATTAGTAGAAATGCAAATGTCCAGGGACCTAGTCAGATCAACACACTTCTGACAACTTTCCTCTTTACTAAGAGTAAACAACCCTTTGCTAACTTCTTAGGAATTCGTTAACACAAGGAACTCAAGGGCTCACCACCACCCTTTTCAGGAGCAATGCGACAGATTCCAAAACCAAAGGTTCCTCTTCTAGCAAGGGTAAGACTGCAGTTTCCCAGGACTCTGAGAGCTCCTGTTGCCCAGCCTCTGCTCGTATCTTCATACTAAGGTCTCACAGCATTCCCTGGGAACTTAATCTCCTCAGGTACACAGGTCTCTGCTGGCCAGTAAACTTTGCAGCACAAGCCCAAGTCACAAGGGAAATGGGTCCCCACCCTGCCTGAGGACAGTGCCTAGGTGATGGCTTTGAACTTGTCTCTGAGCTTAGATTACAGCCCTCTGGGTCAGGTCACTAAGGTAAGCAGATGACAGCAAAGCAGGGCCACTGAAGCCCCTCTTCAACAACTAGCAGCCCCTGGACAGAAGGACAAGAGGCTGGCCACGCACTGCAATGACTAGTAACCACAGACACTCCAAAAGCTGAGCTTCTGTGCACATGCTGGGGAAACCCACCTTCACGTCATCTGCAGGTCTCATGGGGATGCTCCTCCTCTGCCAAGTGACAAGACAGGACACAAGTTTGCCATCAGTTTTCCATTACAAGGTGATCACTTACATTGCACCAACAGTGGCTTGCTCGCTGCCTGGGGTTCTGCTCATTACACCCTCACTACGTCTACACCTGAAGCAGGGGTTTTACAGGGCTCTTCACAGGTGGTAGTGAAGTTAGACCACAGCTGGTCAACTCATTCAGTTTCTGCCAAGGGTTCAATACCACGCTGGGGCTGGGGTGAAGGGGAATATGGGTAAGAGGATTCCCAATTTTATATCGAAACCAATTATTAAAACAAACAAAAATGGGCAGCTTGAGAAAAAGAGACCTGGATGATTAGTCTAGAACAATGGATGTGGACTGATGGAGGCAGCAGAGACATCTACTGCACTGCTGGAATGGGATGAGCTACATGTCCCGTGCTCTGGGAAGAGCATGCCTTCAAAAACACCCTATTTTTAGGTACATTACTCAAAAAAGATCATTTGGTATGTACTTCCACAGATTTGATCATGTAATATTTTCACTAACTTTTAATTAGAAATATGGCCTTTATTTTACCATCTGTTCCTTGCAGAAGATTCCTCTAGCATTACACCTTGAGTACTGAGCACCACTTTTACTGTGGCCGTATATGTGAAATCCAGAGTTCCCCAGCAGCACAGCCTCACTTCAGGGACACATGGAGCAGTTTCCTGCCATACCAGACAATCAGTAGCTAGAAATGGCAGGTGCTGGGTCAGCAAAATGCATCATCAGGTAGAAGCACCTGCTGCTCAAGCTGAGAACCAGAGTTTGGTCCCGAGACTCCACAGTGGAAGAAGGTAACTGACTCTCAAAATCTGTCCTCTTTTCTTCATATGTTTATCAGACACAAAGTAATAAGAAAAAGGTTTTAAATGAATGGCCTATGCTAATGTCTTGCCTGGAAAGAGAGACACGTGAAGAATGGCAACCATAACAGGAGCCAAGTACACGTGGGTAGGGCTGAAGTCTGGATGGGGCACAAGACTTCTAGGCTCATATCCTCCAAATAATAATAATAATAAAGACAGCTTTTAAGTATAATTTAAAGCTTAATGAACAAAAAACAGCCAGCAATGACCTCAAGAGCCTGCCTCCCTGAAATCTAGTTGGCTGGACAGCTCTCTGCACCGGAGTAGCAGCAAGAGTGGGACCAAGAGTCTGAGCCCACAAAAGTATGTCAACTTCAAACCCCACCTGCTTCAGCTGGAAGATCATCCTTGAGTGATCTCCACCTGTGATTTGGTCCAGGAGGTCGTCTACCATTTTCTTGCTGTAGCTCCCAGCATCCTTCACGAACTCCTGCAGGCTAGAAGAGAACCCTATAAGGGAATGTGCTGAGAAAGCATCGTGTTCCAATTTCAAGATCCACCCCAACAGTGACAAAGATTTTGATTCCCGACGTCCACTGCCAACACTCCTCAGTCCTCTGGGAGCTTCCCAGGTATGTGTGGGTGGGTGGGGGAAACAACTGGACTGATCGTTCTCAAACAATTTTCAAAGTGGTTCATGGCAAAAAAAAAAAAAAAAAAAAAAAAAAAAATTAAAAGAGCTCCAGGAAAATTTTTTAAATAAAGGCAGTAACACATGCAGGTATACAATCCATAAAAAATCCTAAGACGTACTAGTTATCTAAAGAAGGCCGTCTATGTCCAACAGTCTTGACATTTCAAAGTACAGGCAGCATGGACTATAAAAGTGGTAGTGGGCAGATATGGAGGGTGGGGTAAGACTCAGGCACACCTTCTGGTACACTTTGATTTCTGGATCATATGACTATACTGACTTAAAAATAAAATTTAAGATGCTCACCAGGGAACAGTCCTCACGTATCCGTGTGACCTGGCTTACCTCAGTGCACACTGCACACCAGTCTCGTCTCCATATGCCGAGTATAGAAGTTCCATCTCATCTGATTTCAGGTCCCCAAACACAGAGTTGTTCTGCATTGAAAGTGCAGTGCTTGCACTAGAGAGGAATGTAACTAAAGAGAAGGGGCAGAGGGGAAGTCGAAGTCATGCTCAATGCACTGCCAGCATGCTACAGCCATTTTTCCTTCCAGGTTATCTCAACCTGAGCCCATGCCTGGTTTCTTCCTTTTTCTTCCTGCCTGAGCACAAATGCGGTAGCAGGAACTGCCCATGGATACTGCAGAGTCTACTTAGCATACCATTACATCTTGGACCAAGGGCCACAAAGCAAAGACCGACCCTTAGGTAGAGATGAGCATGGACAAGCAGAAGTGGTTCTTGGAACCAGTCAGTTCATGAACCCCCTCTGACAGAAGCAGGAGCTGAACCAACACAGGATACACTCTTTCCCAGGCTATGTCTACGAGGCTGTGCTTTTCAGTCTGGTAGAAGTCACGCCGTGTCCTGCACTCTGCTATGGCATTTCCTTCTCTCTCCTGTTGGACAATAGCTGCACCCCCCTCTTCCCTGTAACATAAATGCCTCCTGGGGACAAAACTGCTGAGCTAAGAAGCAAGGACAAGCAATATCTCAAAAGCAAAGTGTGAGCAATGACAAGTTGTTCCCGCTTGGGATCGGAGGAGAGTGCTCTGAGACCTGCCGATGGCTCAGTGCTCCCCGCCTGCATCAGGCTTAGGCAGGCAAAAGAACATGGCGGATTCCTGCCGCCATACAGAGACGCATTTTCAGACTGCACAGTGCTCTGCGTATCAGATTTGGCTGTAACTTGGATAAAAAGAATTCCTACGCTGCACACTCGTTCTCAGAATTAAACTGCTGATTGCGGCTCCAATATGAACTGCTGTGTGCCTGGAACTGTGCTCAGCTCAGAAGCACCAAATGACTCTGAGGCTGGAGCGGTTGCTCCATGCTGAACTGTGCTGGTCTCAGGCAGGAACTACCATAATTACCTTAAAACCGTGCAGTTAAGGTTTAGACTGGGCAGGACACAGGCAGTACCGTATTACCTATACATGGTGCAACTTAAGTTTTTAAGAAGTGCTTAACATTTTAAGAAATGCTCCTGGATAGTAAAAAAATTACAGATTCACAATAAAACAGATTCAGACATAAAAGACCACACTGTTGGATGAATGTACGTAGGCTTGGGAGAGAGAAGAAAAAGAATATAAAGAATAAAGTTAATGTCTTAAAAAGAAAAAGGGTAAAGTCTTTAAAGAGACAGAGTACAGAAGTACAGATAGT